ATGATCTCTCCTGTCGAGTCGAGAAATAGTACACAGTAAAATAGAGGGAGAGAGAAATAAAAATTGAGTCACAGAGATAGTTATCTGTTTAACTAATTTTTATTATAGGATATTGAACAGTCAGTCTTTATCTCTAAGAGTCGGCTGAAAAGTTCATAAGCTGACTATGAATTAGTGATGTTAGAGCTCTGAAGTCTTACATGCATTCATTACAGCTCTTCTTATTAATAACTACATTGTTTCCTCTACACCAACGTCTCAGTCGGTAAACTGAAATCTGACTGTTCAAAGAATACTCCAAATGTAAATAGTAGGAAGCACTCAGGAAAATGGACAGAATTTGGCATCGTGGTGTTATCAAGTATCTGTAAAAAAAAAAAGAAAAAGAAGGGTTTAAACCCCCAAAGACATTCGTGCTGACATCGTTGATACATTTGAGGATGGCGCACCAACTTTATCAGCGGTGCAAAAATTGGCAGCTGAATTTAGGAGGAGATGGAAAAGTTTTGAAAATGGCCCAGGGTCTAGACATCTCGCAACTGCTACCCCGAGGAAAACATTCATCGTGTTCGCCACATCGTGATAGGTGACAGGCAATTGAATGTGAATCAAATAGTCGATGTTATTAGTATATCCAGTGAAAGAACTGAGAATATTCTGTACAATGAACTTGGCATGATGAAAGTTTCTGATCGTTGGGTGCCACGTCTTCTGGGACCTGATCAAAAGCGCACCAGGCTGATCACATCACAGGAAACTCTGACATTGTCTTAAGCAGATATAGCCGGTTTTCTTGATTTCCTTACCGACGATTAGGTTCGTCACATTCAGGCAGAGACAATCCATGAAGTGGAAAACACCTCTCCTCATTTTCTGCAAGGCCATGGTAATTTCATCTGCATTAAAGGTGATGGCCACAGTTTTGATGGATGCAACAGGCATTGTGTTTATTGACTATATTCAACAGGGTCACATCATCAATGGAAAGTACAATGCCAACTTGCTGAGACAGTAACGAAAGGCTATCAAGACCAAATGCCCATGTACTCTAACAGAAGCGCTTTTGTTTCATCAAGAAAATGCTTCAGTACACAAATCCTTGGTTTCAATGGATGCTGCACGTAAATGTAGTTTGAACTGGTTGATCATCCTTCCTGTTCACCTGACTTGGTCCCAACATGAAAAAGCACTTTGCTTGGAACAAGTATCGCAATGATGATGACATTTTATTTGATGTTGATGATTTTTAGACCAACAGGGTGAAAACTTCTTCACCAAGGGGATCCACACACTGCAACACTGATTGAAGAAATGTGTGGACCGCAAGGGGGACTATGTCGAAAAATAACCCATATTTGGTCACATTACGTGAGAATATCTTGGTCATCCTATTAACATTTCAGCCGATCCTCGTATCTATCTATCTATCTATCTATCTATCTATCTATCTATCTAATTTTGTTTTTATATAACCCTGTCTATTCCTTCCTATCTGTCTATTTATCTATCTGTTGTCATTTCTATCTGGCCTTAGATTGCTTTCTCTATTTTCATGTTCCTATCTATCTATCTATCTATCTATCTATCTATCTATCTATCTATCTATCTATCTATCTATCTATCTGTTTCTATCACTATTTGTCCTTTCTTCTATGCCTATATCCCTCCCTCTCTTTGCTAGTATTCTATCCCTCACTCTCTCTCACTCTCACTATCGCTCTGTTTCTATCTCTGTCATTTTTGCTCTCACTCTCTCTCTCTCTTCCTGGTTGTCTCTTTTTTCTTTCTTACTCAGATTGTTCCTATCTATCTATCTATCTATCTATCTATCTATCTATCTATCTATCTATCTATCTATCTAATTCTATTTCTATCGATCACGGTCTATTCCTTCCTATCTATCTATGTATCTGTCTGTCTGTCTCTGTTCATATGTATTTCAGTTCGCTTCTATCTATCCATTTGAAATTATATACTTTATATTACCAAGTTAAGTAAACATCTTTGCTGGCCTTCACTCTCTCCTATATACTTACAAACTTCTACTCTAATATTTATCAGTAAATCATAAACATACGTATGCATTCCTCCCTATTAAAAACTTACATAAAAAAACACACGCCGATACTCGGAAAAATATTCTTGCAAACAGATCGATGTCAGATCAAATACTTTTTTTTTCCTTTTTTTTTTCTTTTTCTTTGCTTTCCGTCTCCCGCACTAAAACTCTTTGCCAAATTGAAAAATGTTTTCTTGTTTTTAAAGTTTCTTATTTCAGATATTTTGGCAGAAAGTTGTTATTCTCTTCTGGTGCCACAATCGCCATTCGAAACTGTCAGTTGCCATTGGACATTTTGCGAAAGATCAAAAGCGCCGACAATAGAGAAGTCTCTACATCGTTTGTGCCAAGATGGCGACACCACGTGACCTCGTCTCCCGCTCTGCCATGAATCCGTCATCTCTCGCTTGGTTGTTTTATTTTGCTTTTTCATCTGGGTTAAAAGTGTCCGCGGGGAAGATTTGTTAAGAAAATGGTATGACAAAGCTAAGAGGAGAATCTGCCAACTGAAACATATGAATAGAGATTATAAAAGAATATGAAAGGACAGTTGTTTTTTTTTTTTTTAATTGAATTTTTAAATTTAAGAGTCAGTATGACCTGTGAGTATTAAATTTTCTTTCTAAATGTCAACTGTCTCTTTCTGATTTTAAATATAAGTCTCCTGTTTGTTTAGTTTCCTTAAATCCTCCTAGTTGCTTACGTGCTATGTCCATTTTATCCTCAACCTTTTTTCTGGACACCCACCTCTCTGTTAACTGAAGTCATTTCTTAATTCGTGAGGAAATCTTTCTTCATTCATTGCTAATTAGGATAATTGATATTACATAACAGTTTAATATACTTTTCTTACATTTTTTTAAATACAGAAATATAAAAAATTAATGAATATGAGGTGTTCTATTCAGGTGTTAAAAAGTGAATGGTTCGTATTTTCGACAGTGGCCGATGTTTGATATCGGTTATAAGCTCGGAGTCTGACCTCAAGGGAGATCGGCTCAATACAACCTTCTTAATTCTATTTCCTTAATTTAGTCTTGCGTCGTATAAAGCCAAACTTGTTAAAATATCAACAGTCAATGTGAACAAAACTTATGTTGGTTTAAAAGAAAGTGTAACTACAGGAGAGCTGACGAAAGGACATGCATCTTTCAATATGAAATAAAATAAACACCCACATCAAAATCCATATTATCCCGAGGTCAGGTAGAGCATCGGTGTCCCATCAAGTATCGGGATACTGATATATTTTTTTCGAGTATAGAATTTACTTGGGATTGTCTTTTCTCTACATGTAAAAGGTGACAGATTGGACTCGGTTACATAATACCAATAAAACAGTGTAAACCGTACTCATAGAAATATAAAGAAAAAATAATTGTTAATAAATCTGTTTGATTAAATTTTGATCGGAATACATGTTAAGCTGACAAACTTGTACCTGTATACGTAGATAATGTAAGCAAATATATGGATATAGATCCGACAGTATGAAGAAAATTTATATACGGAAAAAACAAAGAAAAATCCTTATATACAATTATGCTGTTTTAATGTTAATATGTCAACGTCGGACGTTTCGGTCTAATAAACCATCTTCAGGGCATATTCATAAAATATAATTAACATTATCAATTCAACATGACAAAGACGATGTACATATGAACAAGACTTATCCAAACAGATAACTGAAAGTTTCATAAGATCAGCGCTCCGTTTTCACAGCGTCGCCCACGTGACGACAACGTGACCATGTTTTATTAACATTAAAACAGCATAATTGTATATAAGGATTTTTGTTTGTTTTTTCCGTATATATTTTTCTTCATACGTAGATAATGTATACCACTTTTTCTTTATGATAGATTGAAATATAGCTTTATCTATCTATGAAGAGGTGCTGAAAGTTTATCGGTCAGACTCACTTTCCCAAATCTGACCAAGTCACCAAAAATATCAGGTTGCTTCTTTTTTCAGTATTCGCATCTATCTATCTATCTATCTATCTATCTATCTATCTATCTATCTGTGGTCTCAGTCTTTTCTTATCTATCTATGCATATAATCTCTCGTTATTTCTCTCTTTGTAGCTCTCCTTCTCAACTCTTTGTCGGTCTGTCACTCTCAGTCTATTCGTATCTATCTATCTATCTATCTATCTATCTATCTATCTATCTATCTATCTATCTATCTGTCTCAGTCTTTTCTTATCTATCTATGCATATAATCTCTCATTCTCTCTCTCTTTGTAGCTCTCCCTCTCAACTCTTTGTCGGTCTGTCGCTCTCAGTCTGTTCATATCTATCTATCTATCTATCTATCTATCTATCTATCTATCTATCTATCTATCTATCTATATATCTATCTATCTGTGGTCTCAGTCTTTTCTTATCTATCTATGCATATAATCTCTCGTTCTCTCTCTCTTTGTAGCTCTCCCTCTCAACTCTTTGTCGGTCTGTCACTCTCAGTCTCTTCGTATCTATCTATCTATCTATCTATCTATCTATCTATCTATCTATCTATCTATCTCAGTCTTCTTCTTATCTATCTATGCATATAATGTCTCGTTCTTTCTCTCTTCGTAGCTCTCCCTCTCAACTCTTTGTCGCTCTCAGTGTGTTCATATCTATCTATCTATCTATCTATCTATCTATCTATGTGTGGATGGAGATTTTAGTAAAAAATAAAATGTTTTAAGCAAGAACAGAATTTCTGGGTCATATAACGTCATATCGGATATCGGCGCTGGAAGTGAAAATGAGCGAGCCGAGTTCAAATCCTGGACCAGTTTGTTGTGAGCACCTTTCAAAAAATATCCTTGAGGATATCATGAGTCCGTTTCTTCTTTCTCCCACCCACTCACCATTTATGAGTCAAATAACAGAGTAGACCCGACTGTCTAATTTGGTAAAGCAGCTAGTCTAAGAGACAGAAAAATCCTTCAAAACCGTGAGAAAGCAACGAGAAACCCGTTCACTAGCTTTCCCAACTTCTCAACTCACGCATATTAGAGGAAAATGTATACAGCCACGATTGGCTATTTCCTGAAAGGACATGGAACTGAAAAAATCTGCGCATCAATCAATCTATCTAGCTAAGAAAGTTTATGGCGTTTCTTATTCATTTATTTGATCTTTTCACCCCAAAAAAGGGGATAATGCCACTAAGACGCCAAAGGGTTCTTGGGAGTGAAAGAGAATGAGAAGATTTTAGGAGAAGGAACCAGAAATACAATCCTAAAAATGAAACAAGGGATAAATCTCTACTTTTGTTCGAAAGAAGATGAAGGAGCGTAAACCTGGCGATAGACAAACCTATCTACTCCTATTGAAAAAAAGTAACAGATTAAATTAAAAATCGATTAGATTAACGCTTCTTCTTGAACCCTTCTTCCTTGGGCTTTTGTTTTGAAAACCTCTTAACTCCAATCTTTGTTCTCAACTTATTTTTATGTACGGCTAATACCGTGAGGCGATTCTGAGAGAATTAGAAGTCCTAGCAGGATTCATTATTAGCAGCCATAGTCTTAACAATGTAAGCCATGCATATATCATCCTCTTGTCCTCTAGACTTCACTCAGGAATATGGAACCACAGCTCTCAACAGCACTAGACAATCCTGTGTGGTTTCCATATCACATTAGAATTTATGGGATAAAATTGCTCATCTTCCAGTAACCTGTCCAAGCGGTCCAATATCTAAGTACTAACATACTATATATACTAAATACAAACATACTATATATACTAAGTACTAACATACTATATTTGCTAAGTACAAACTTACTATATATACTAAGTACTAACATACTATATATACTAAGTACTAACATACTATATATACTACGTACTAACATACTATATGTACTAAGTTCTAACATACTATATTCATGTTTTACGCCTCAATGCGATATTTAGACTTGGCCAGAAGCTTGCACTAAGGCGTGAAACTGATATTCTATAGGCACACTCAATCTTTCAATTCCTTAGTTTAACCAGTTCTAGCCTTCACGGTTTAGACCCACAATTCCAGGCACATAGTATCGAACCGCCATTCCTTTCATATTCCATGGATGCTTAACCGGTCACTATAATCTTAACCTGTTCCTGTCTATGGCGAGAAAAAGTGCACTATGATGCAATTCACTTCGCCAGAAATCTGGAATGCTGTACTGCTTGTCATTCGCACCGGAAGCTCCAATACGAATATTTCAAAGTATTTGAGTGCCAATCGGAAGACAGTGCTGAGGATTCAGAAAGAGTTGGATGAGTCTAATAGTGATTACGAAGGTGTTTGGAGTGATCACTAGTTATGACGACCTTATGCCTCCATTTATCTTCCCACAGGGCCTCAGACTCAACACGGGCGCCTACATCAAGTGCCTTGAACAGGTAGTGCTGCCCCGGATCAAGAAGGTAGTTGCTGGAAGACCCTATATCTGGCAACATGACTGTGCACCATGTCACATAAGCAGGAGAACCTAGTCATTTGCTATCAAACAATTTCTGCGACCATATCACCCCTTACACCTGCCAACTTAGCTTCCCAGACTGCAATCCCCAAATCCAATCTTTTTTTATTATGTGTGGGGCACAGTTAAGCGAGAGACCAACAAAGCTTTGCAACACCAAAGATAAACTGAAGGTAATTATTATGGCATCATTCAGCAACAAGGAGACCGTCCAGAAGAGATGCAGGAGATTCGGAAGTCGTCTGGAGGCTGGGGTTGAAGCCAATGATGATTTTATTGAATAAATTTACTCTTTACTATTTCAAGATATTTTGTGTCATTTTGGTAAATATATCTGTTAAAATGAGATATCAGTATTATCTGAGACGACAAATTATACATCACACTCTGTATATAAGTCTATAAACAAGTTTTTGTGCCGCTGTCCGGATCATTGAATAACACTACACTTTTCTCTACTTTTGAATGTCAGTTCGTTTCTCTCTCTTGCTGTCGCGGTGTTTCTCTCTCTCTCTCTCTGTGCGTGTGTGTGTGTTTGTGTGCGTGTGAATTAAAGCGCAGTTTGGATCCCAGTGGCGACTTGATAAAGCAAACTTAATTAACTTTGTTTCTGCAAGAAGCCGACATGGGAAGAAGAACGCTGATGAAGTTTTTACAAATGGCTGCCTCGAGACAATTTGTTTGGCAACAAGACAATCGCTGCGCTGGCATGAAATGTGGTGAAACATCGCAGGGTAGTTACAAAGTTCATCGCGGATTTATAGCCAAATCCTGAAGGCGGCAAATACAGACTTCGTGTATACATATTCTAGTGTTAGCATGCGCATGCAAACAGACAAACACACGAATATATATATATATATATATATATATATATATATATCTATGTGGACATCACACGCATATATATATATATATGTGTGTGTGTGTGTTTGCATATGCATGCTAACATACATACATACATACACACACACACACACACACACACATATATATATATATATATATATATATATAAGCATATTTCAAAGAAAACAAATTCAAAAACTTCAACATCTCATTTGTGATCGTTCTAAATTTACTAAATTGAAAAAGAACACCAATGAATCTCTAAAGAAATATGTTGAACTCATGACATCCAACATTATGTGGATTTCCACATTAGTCGTTTCCTGTGTAAGGTAGCTAATAGCAATGGCGAGAATAGAAGCATAAACAAGAACATTAATATTATTTATCAAAATCAGACGAACGAAAATTATAAACAGGATGAATGCAGAATTAAGAACGTTATTGTTGTGGTAGGATCCACCTAATTTGCATAGTGGAGTACCGACGATATAAATATGGTTGGTAGCGGGAAGAGAGGGAGGAATCAAGAGATTCAATCCAGAGACTCTGCCCGACTGCGACTCAGTCAACACATTCTCCAGGAACGGTCTTATCAGGAATATACAAAAGACTATATGTAAATATTTTGTACACTTTCTTGTTTCAATACATTTTGTTCTAAGTACATTTTGTGTTGCATTATTATTCCATGCATTAGTCAAGTTTCAACAATTATAAAAAAATGCATAACACCAGTTGACAATAACAAAAAAATTAGATTAATTATTTATTACAAAAAATTTAAAACCTCTAACCTTATAGTTAAAAATAATAATTCACGTCCTAGAACAAAATTAAATAGGGCAAATATTATTTACGAATTTAAATGCCCATTAGGGAATTGTATCCCTGATCAATCAAAATTCGTAAATAATTATATAGGCCACACTACAACATGTTTGACACGCGGACTCACTACACCTTTCTGACCATAGCTCAATTAGATCTCATTTAAATGTTCATGGAGACCTACCGGACACTATTCGTAACATACTTGTTGACAACACTAATATAATAGCATCATCTATATGCAAAAAAGGCTAAAAATAATGGAAGCCTTATTAATAAAAACAAACAAACCAACACTTAATAATATTAACATTGAACATGGGCATAATATCTTGACGGTGTTTTGAAAAATGAAAATGTTTTATAAAACATACATACAACAAACTATTTCTTATTTTAACAGTTAAAATATAATCCTTGGAAATCGCTAAATGTATAGCGCTCGGATAAAAAGAACATTCGGACAGTTTTTAATATAATTTATCATCCGAAAAGAAAAAAAAATATATTAGATCGCATGAGAAATTGTATAAAAAAAACTAAATAAAAACACCTTGTCTATTGTTTTCAATGAAATGTACATGAAAGAAGGATTGCTGCCTAAATACACACACACACACACACACATACATATATATATATATATATATATAAGGAGCAAATGCTTAAAATGTACATTATTTGGACTATTGTTCTCATCTTTATTACAAAGTTTCGACCTTCTTCAGGTGATTGGAATGTCGAACTGAACCCTTTATTTCGCTCACTGGGGTAGACTGTTCTAGATCCACATGCCATGTTTAATGGATGTCAGTTATCTCCTGTTAATTTCCCTCTGAATGTTCTCCACTGCATTAACAGGGTATTGAACTCACACTCTTTGGGTCCTGTCACTGGATCTAACTAAGGCTTTATCCACTGTGCCATGTGTCGTTGTGTGACTTGTACTTGTTTTTGCTTATTTATGTTTATTTTTATTAGTTCTAAGGGTTATTTTAGCGGTGTACGATTTGTTGATTTGTTCATTTATTTATTTGGATTAATTTTTACTTGTTTTTTCTTATTTGCTTATTTGCTTATTTTTTTATTTTTTTATATTTTTATTTACTCTATTCGGTTACAGCAAAAACTCAAACAGCCCAAATTAAATGAAATATCTTTCAGCAAAGGAAAAGTTATCTTGAATTGTATATGATATAACTAATTTACGCAAATGTTTTATTGGTATTATATAAAAATAAAAATTAAAAATAAATAAAAATAAATAAATCGCCTTCTTTTCGTGTGGCCTCGTTCCCAAAAGCATTTACACATGACGTCAAGCTAGACCATTTCAAACGTCCAGCATAGCGTATTTGAGTTGACTGAAAAACATTTGCGCGGCCATTTTTATGGATCATCTCGCATGCTATATTGATAAAAATAAATTGTATATGTGAGATATAAAATAGATGTTATTAAAAATTTCCTTATGAGAGTGCACGCGAATTCACCCTCTCGTCCGCTTTCCTTTAAAGAACTTAATAACGTGAAACAAACGCTTGTT